CCCACGTCGTCCATGCCTTACGCCGCCCTTGGTCATAGAAATGATGTAATTTGAATATAAATTATTTATAAATACGTATGTCAAGTTATATTTTTATTACTACGTAAAATATATTTAAGAGTTTACAACCACTGTGTCGGGTGAGACGTTGTTGAAACAAAAAAAGTTATGCATTCCATCACGTACATAAACAGTATCGTAATTCGCCAAGTGCAAATCAGCAAATTCGTAAAATATTTGTTTATTGAACAATCCAGATAATCGAAAATCCGGATAATAGAGGTCCGGATAATCGAGGTTCTACTGTATAATAATATTAAACAACAATCACACTGCTTCATTGAATCTGTAACAGATTAAATTTAATTGTTAATGCTTATGATATATGAGTCAATAAATATTTTATTAAAAATATTGACTCATATCATAATCAGAAGTAATATACATCAATCATATTTTATTAAAAATATTGACTGCTGTATCTTACTCTGAATTTACCTTAAGCATAAACAATTAAATTTAAGAATTTTTAAAACTTTTTTTTAAAATTTTAACATGTCACATTAAAATAAAAAGTTTAAAAATTTATATATACATTTGCTATCCAGGTTATTTGATTTAAAAATATTTTCAACAAATTCTCATTGATATTTGGAAAAAAACATAAGTTAAACAGTGAAATTCAAAAATAACTGGAGGAATCATCTATCATACCAACACTACTGGTGTAAAAATTAATAAAATAACTATGTAATTACTGAAAAACCAGCAATAATTCACTTCAAAATGAATGTTTTCTACCATCCTCAACAGTCATCATCAGGTTCAATTCCAAGAGTTCGAAAAATTGAACATCGAAGTTATGCACATGTCCAATTGAACATTGAAGTTATGCGCACAATGTTCAATTTTTCGAACTCTTGGAATCGAACCTGATGATGACCATTGAAGACGGTAGAAAACATTCGTTTTGAAGTGAATTATTGCTGGTTTTGCGGTAATTACATAATTATTTTAATAACTGAAGGTAAATAGTTCATAAAAAACTTACACCTTTAAAAATCCAACAATGTATTTTACTATTTTTAATGTAATGTCCTTAAATTCAAATGCTTGTACTTTTGAATTTATATTTACAATCTTTTAAATTTGTATTTATGTTCTTTTATTCCATTATGTTCTGTAACTGAGGAAGATCAGTGAATTTGGTTGAAAACATTCTTAATTTTTATTAAATTTGTTGCTGGATTTATAAATGTGTAAGTTTTTTAATAAGTTAAACAGTGTTGTGTGTGTTTTCTCTTATTTTTAATCTACAATAAAGTCATATTTAAAAAAATTTGAAATGTAAAAAAATGCTTCTATAAGCATCAGAAATATTGTAAATAAATACAAACCATTAATTACTGGCACATTTTAAAAAAGCAAACTCAAATAAATCAAAATATACAAATTCCATTCTTCCTTCCTAGGAACATTTTCTTATAATCAATCAATCACATTTTATATTACAAATATATTTGTTTTACTCAATATATTGCAAAGAAAGAAAAAGACAAGACGTTTTATGCAAAAAGATTTAGCTATATTAGAACTAACTCACCTGGATTAGAGGAATGTGTGTTACATTGGTGCGAATGAGATGGCATTCCACAATGCACACATTCTGATATCAAATGTAGATGTGGATGTGAATTGTGAATAGGAGCATGAAATTGACAATGAGCAGGATGAGGTTGCAATTGAGGATGAGGATAAGCAATAAATGGACTTGTGCCTCCTGTATGATTAGTATTTGAAGTTGCCCTATGATTCTGTTAAAAAAACATTTTATTTATTTAAATATCATAACTTAATTAGTCCTTAAATTAAACAAATTTTTATAGTTTAAATTTTAATTACTCTCTATACTTTTTAATTCTACATAAAAAATGTTTACAAAACAAAATGTTTATATACACACACAAAGTTAATTTATAAACTCCAAATTAAATCTGCTAATTGTGCCCATACATTTGCCTTAATATTTATTAAAGCAAAGTTATAAACTAAAACATTAAAATAAGAGGCATTTGTACAAATTTTCATCAGTAATTTTGGATTTAAAAAAATTTTTTTTTAACCTAACTGGATACTGTATTTTGGAAATTCAAACACCTTGAATTTTCAAAATATTCAATTGTGATTTATGATTCATTCCATGTTAAAAAGTTTCAACTATTCTATTTTAAACAAAAAAAATTTTAAATGTTTCTACAAAAATATAAATTTCCAGTTGCCTTAATACATAATTCATAAGTGTCTCATTTCTTGTTTAAGTGGTTTCAAGTTATACAGAATTTGAAGATAATTGTCAATATATACTTATATTAACGATATATCATCATCATCATACATATCAAAATACAGTAAAACCTGTCTAAAATTGAATCTAAATAAAAACAGCAACTTGCCTAAATGCAAAAAATTCTTCAGAATGAAATGATTTTGTATATTAAATTTTACTGTAAGTTGGAAACCTGTCAAACACAAAAATGGATGAGCATTCTGAGTACAAAGAATTTAATTTTGCACAATATCCAGGTTAAGATTTCACTTGTAGACAAGTAAATTGCCACCAGATAAAGCAGTTGTTACAGAACATGACAAACTGTATTTCCAGAACAATTTCAAACATCTTGTCAGTATAACAAAAGCCATGTAATAAGGAAACATATGGACTAAAGTATTTGTTAATACAGTAGAGTGTCGATTATCTGAATCAATTGGGGACTGGGATCGTTCGGAAAATTGATTTTTCAGATAACCAATTACGTACAAAAAAATATATTATTAATATAGTATATTATTATATCCCAATGATAGTATATTAATATATCTCATATTTAAATTTTTCTCTGTTGCATGTCGCTTCCTGTTGAATTTTCATCAATGTTAAGCCTAATGAAAATTTTTATAATAATAATCATATAATGTATCGTTAAAAATTATTTCTTAATTTTTTTTGTTTTTATATTTTTCGATATATTTATTTTGTTTGTACAAAATAATGTTTTGGAAGTTAATCTGGTATCAAAAATGTTCAATTCAGCACGACACAGTCCAACTGGAACATTTTCGGTTGATCGACATTCAGATAATTGACACTCTACTGTATTACTCTGTTAGAATTAACCAAGGAAGAATCAAATACTTTTAAAAATCAGGAACTTTCAAGAATGAAATGAGTTTCCGAGAATCAAGTTCTCCAGAACAAGTAATGAATTATACTCATTGATAACAAATACTACTACTAATTTGTCTTGAATGGATTAATTGGTAACTAACTAGTACCAAGTATTTAAAAACAAGTTGATTGACATATTGATAATTGCAGAGATTGAAATAAATGATTGATTAAAGTATTAAAATTCCTCAAGAAGCCAAATCATAGAATAACTTTGTTTCTTTATTACTGTAATGTGATTAGAATTTCCAATAGCAGAGCAAGGCACTAGTTTTTAATATTCAAATTGTCTTGTTTGCTGTTGTGTGAGCTCAAACATTACATCCAAGAAGCATTTGAATACCAAACAAATCCATGGGAACAATGAGAATGTTTTGCAATAGAAAGTTTCCAATTCTTGCATTCACATACTCCCATCTTTAATTGGAATCACTTTTAATTAATTTGAATTAAATCTATTAATAAATTTTTTAATGCAAGTAAAAGTGATTTTACTACAAGAAAAAGTATAACTGTATGATATTTAATGACGACATTCTGGTGATATTTAAAGATAAAAAAAAAAAAAAAATACAAAAATCTCTTCAAAATGAAAACCTGATAAAACAGAAAAAATAATTCAGTACCATGCAATTCCAGTTTATATGGGTTTTCATTTTTCTTTTACCATATAACATTAATATATATACTGTACATCTATTATGATGTATAGGTATTATGTACAACACATCACAATATAAAGTACCAAGGATAAGTATAATTTCAATCCAAAATGTTAAACTGACAAACTGATTCAAATCCAATACAATAAGTTCATCATATTATTAAAAAACTTCACTATAAATAAAAGTATTTTAAACAAAAAAAATTGTGATTTTTTAAAATACAAAAATTCATCATAAATATTAAGTTGTTATGATAATAAATTCACTTACATCAAAAGTTGTTGGTAAAGGAACTGCGACAGAAGCTTGAGGAGGCATAATTACATGCAAGAGAGTTCCATTTTCGTCTATAACCTGTTGGACAACATGACCTGGTGGTACTTGTACAGACATTGGAATAGGTATCAGATTGTTGTTATTGTTATTGGACAACAAACGCAAAGTAGCAGGACCTGAAAAATAAAGTACTTTTTAAATTTGAATAGTTTCATTATTTTTATAAGTAAATTTATGTCGGAAATAACACTTTTTTGTGTGGCAAATTACAGTAAAAAATATTGTTATTTTGATATTTTATATCTTTGATAATTAAACAATCCCTATTGCATTTTATATTTTACCTATAAAACTTATATTTGCAAAAAAATATATAATGTATTATATAAGCAAATATAACAGCTCTTGCTCACACATGTATTATAATGTTTTTTTTTTAATTTGCTAATACTTGTTGTCTATGTAGTAAAATAGTTATCTTATACTTAAAATTGCATTCTGTATCCAAAAGGAAAGTGTAAATTGAAACTTTATATTATATGCCCACATTTACTAGATTGAAAAATATAAACAAATTCCCTTTATTTTGCCTCACAGTACTTTCAACGCTATTCTGTCTGTATTTTGCTTTCAACTATTATGGTAACCCTAAGAATGATAGACATACAAAAAACCTATAAAAGTGATAAAAATCAAAGAACTCCTAAGTACATTCTTGCCTGAGTAAGGTTTCATCTTGCAAGAATAGAATTGTTTTCTATGAACTGGCATATGATGTTCATTGTTATGTATTTCCATCTTATGTCATAAAATATAATGTATATACTGTATACATATATATGTATAAACACACATTATATTTTATTACATAAGATGCACGGGAATATAATACATTCCATTTCAGTATTTATAAGAAGCAAACATTTAATGTATTTAAGCCATCCCACATAATGAAATAATTATGACAAAGTATGACATAAATACATAGTAATATGACAACATGTGTAAGTGTTAGAAAAAGGTTACTGCTTAATTTTAAAAAGTTGGATGCACGTGATGAATGATAAATTAATAATCATTACCCAACTAATATTTACAATAACTCTGTTTTAAATAACTAAAATTAAAAGAGACAATAAATTTCTTCACATTTTGTCCTTTTTTAAAATACATCAGGAACATAACTGTCTTTACAACCAAGTCAACCATTTATTAGCAGCTACTCATCCATCTCAACATGCAAAACATTTAAAAAATTCCAGGGTTTCAGCATAATTATAAATATATATCAATTAATAAAATGGCCAGAATGACAATAATATGGGGGGAAAAACACATTAAATACATGCATGAGGTATTTTTATATATTATTGTTGTCCAGACCATTTTATTAATTAGTAATAATATGTTTAATTAAACAACGACATTTTTATTCAAGAGTTTGGCTAGTTAGATTACACCAAACCCTACTGAAGGCTATTTGGGGAATTCATTAGTCTATATGAGATCGCAATTTCACATATAAGACATAGGGTAATTCTTTTAGCCTTCTTTTTTGGATGAAAGTTGCTTCTTATATGCCATAAAATATAGTACTTTGAAAAACAGACATAAGTTTTATATTTTATAAAATATCAAAAAAGCTACCTAAGTTTCAAATCATANTGTTATTAGAAAATTGGATTAAAAAGAAAAAAGAAAATTAATTTTACTATGTAATTTCTTCTAATGAATTTACTGTTAGCATTGAATGATACATAAATTTCTCTAATTTTCACCATTTTTCAAAATTAAAATTTTGAATTTTAATAAATGAATTTGTGTTATATAAATTTTGGCTATTTAAAAAAAAACTCAAATATATCATTTATTTTTTAGAATTAATTCTGATAAGTCAAATGAATTTACTGTTAGCATTGAATGATACATAAATTTCTCTAATTTTCACCATTTTTCAAAATTATTTTTTTACATTTTAATAAATGAATTTGTGTTGTAAAAGAAAACTATTAAGTATGAAATTCAACTTACAAACTGGAATTATCAACATTAAATATTAATTACAATATTTCTATATCAGTATTCATTTCACTTGAAAGAAATTTTTTAAATACCATGACAAATAATTATATAGTTATCAATTGGCANACTAAAAACTTAAATTTAAGCTTTTGTAAATTTTTGTCCAATGGAGATTATTATTATTAATTAAAGACAGACTGCCCAAAAAAGGCCACCATTTATTTTAATTAAAAATAATAATCTCCATTGGATGAAAATTTACAAAAGAAAAAATTGGAATGTATCGTCACCAGGGGGAAGTTTCTGAAATCTGCATTTTCCAGCGCTTATTCCAGTAGATAAAAGCAGAAACACCCCATAGGAAGAATGGAAAGCAAGATGTCTGTATAACACCAGTTCCTTTTTTTTTTAATTTTTTTAAATTGGATCTAATTTTGTTTTTAAAGGACTGTTTTTTAAATTCTGGAGGCATGTAGCCTATAAAGGAAGGTCTGTCGCCAGGAATGTGAAGTCTGGAACACAAAAAATAAATGATGGCCCTTTTTGGGCAGACTGTCTTTAATTAAAGTTAAGCATTAGTTATTAAGATAGATTTACATAAATTTTTCTTGTTTGTTATAAATTTCAAAAATAATTCAAATCAAAGAATAGGAGAAAGAAAATAAGTTTATCATAAATTTAAATACGGCAAAATTTATCTAAAATATCCTTTTACAAAATGAAAATCTACATAAATAGAAAATAAATCTCAGAACAGAACAATTAGATATATAATATTTTCTATCTCAAACAAAAAATGAAAACCTTTTTAATTCCAATTGAATAACAACTTGAATAAAGTTAAATTTTTTAGTGTAACAGCAGGGTAAATTCAAGATCATATTTAATGATGTAAGTTGTTGGCTCAGATCATACTTTTCAGTAATATGAATTAGTATTTTTTTCCTTCGTATAAAATTGCACTTTGTTTAAAAAAATAATAGTGACAATTTAATGTTTATGGTATCATATGAAATACGTTTTCCAATAATGTCATTTTGTACTTGTAAAAAATATAAAGTGCAATACATTTGCATGATGTTAAGTGAAATGAAAAGTTTTACACAGTTAATACCATGTAAAAAGTCCATAATTGTTACTTTGAACGTTGAAGGTTTTATCCTCTCATGAAATAGTGCAAAGAATGCATTACAATCAATCAACAATTGTGCAATGCCACAAAGACGTGAACAAAAGGTTAAAAATAGGAGGTAAATGGGTGACTACATCTTTCAGAAAAGGATGCTGAATACACCAGTCAAAACTTGATAATCCAGTAAATAATTTAATGTAAATTCGACAAACATTTTTGATCTTACACAAGATCTACTTCAGGTCAACAACATTCTAAATTGGAAAGCACAGAAGTAATTTCAAAATTTTTTAAAATATTTGAAAATATAAAGATATAAAATGTTAAAGTAAACAAATAGATTTTCAATTTTTGAAATAAGTCAAAATAATCCTGGGGTTCTATGTACAATTATTCAAATAATTCTAAACTACCCAAAAATCCGCCAGAGGACTCTCAGCTTATGCGACTATATAATAAGAGTGCTGTCGAAAAGTTTTTTATCAATTTTTAATGTTTGTAGACATCATAGCCTACAAGAAAAGGTCAACGTAGAGATCATTTTTAATTGTGTGAAAAGTTTTTTTTATTGTATTTTTCTGTTATTTTTAAAAGATTTTTTCTTCAATTTGCTGGCTGTTTTTGTGGTTCCTGGACTGGAATGAAAAGGATAAATATAGACAGAAAGACAAACTTAGTTTCTATAGTCATAATTTTCAATTTTTAAATAGAGATTTTGTTGCCTATTAAGATGTATAAATTAAAAGATGCAAATATAAGAAATGACTATACCTATATAAGTATGATCACAAAAATAATATTAACTATGTTGGTATTGGACCTGACAAGCAGTTGCATTAACTTAAAAGATGGAAAAAGCAAATGCCTAAGTTAATGCAACTGCTTGTCAGGTCAATACCAACATAGTTAATATTGTTTTTGTGATTATATTTATATAGGTATAGTCATTTCTTATATTTGCATCTCTCTTAATTTATACATCTTAATATGCAATCAAATCTTTATTTATTTACTTTTATATTTTATATCTTTACTAGAAATTTCCCCGTCAAGCATGATGGAATACCTTTTATGAGAAAGTAGAGACTGAAGAATTAAGAGAAGAGATTTCAAGAAATTCAAGAATAGTTACTAATATTTCTACAAATTAAGTAGTTTATACTATCTGTTGTAACAAAGAACAACAAAACAAAATTTCATCTGGATTAGACAAAAATTACAGGAGTTATAAGGAATTCACACACATACAGATGACAACTTTTATGTGCTTGTTTGATCAATACTTCCAATTGGATAATAGAATGCCACTTGGTCACTATGAAAAGATATATATTAATTATAGGTGTCATTCATAACATCATTTTTTGTATTATATGCACATGTTTTAATAAATCTTTTGAATATTCTAAGCTGATTCATCATTAATATTAGAACGAAATAAAAAAAATCCAATTCTTCTTCAACAAAGATGAACTGACAACTTTGGTTAATTTACTAAATTAATCAATGTACCTTTAACAGTAAGTAAAATTGAAAGAACACTAATATTCTTGACTAAATGAATGAACCATCTTCAAACACAGACAAGATGAAAGTGGAATGAGTATTAGTTAGAAAGGAATATTCTTCCATCCTTACCGACACTGACCTGTAAACCAGGCTGAAAACTAATACAGTGGAACCTCGGTATACAACCTTAATCCGTTCCCGATGTTTGGACTTATACCGAATAGGACGTATACCAAACCAACCTTTTCCATAAGATGTAATGTAAAAATGATTAATCCGTTCTCATGTAAAAAAAATGGCTGGCTTTAAACACCTCACTTTCCTGGCTAGTTCCTGCTTGATTTTTCATGAGATCAGCATGTATCCCTTTAGTTTTCTCGCAAATAATTTCTTCTGATACGCTGTCGCCAGCGTACTGTTTTTCAGTTATCCAAAGCAAAAGCAATTTCTCGACACAATCTAATGTCTTCGATCTCTGTTTATAAATTGATTTAACCCCTTTCGCAATGTTAG